GACAAATTTAAAATCTACAAAAATGAAGTAGATGGAATTGAAAATCAATGAAAAAATTAAAAGGCTAAGAACTGATAAAAGAGGTGAATACTATGACCCAAGGTATTTCCAATCTTTAGAGTTAGTACATGAAACTACCGCGGCATATACACCACAAAAAAATGGTGTGTCGGAAAGGAAGAATAGGACACTAGAAGAAATGGTAAATTCTATGTTGTCATATTCAGGTTTAAGTGATGAATCTTGGGGTGAAGCCGTTTTAACGGCTTGTTACGTGTTAAATCGTGTTCTCATGAAAGGGAAAGATGTAACCCCATATGAGCTATGGTATAAAAGGAAACCAAATGTGAGTCATCTCAAAGTTTGGGGTTGTAGGGCTATTGTAAAAGAGCCGGAACCTAAACGTCAAAAGTTAGGTGAAAGAGGAGTTGAATGCATTTTTATAGGGTATGCAGATCATAGCAAATCCTATAGGTTCTATGTAATAGAACAAAATGACATTTGGTCGATTCACACCACCATTGAGTCAAGGGATGCATTGTTTAATGAAAATCAATTTTCTTCAATTCCTAGACCAAAGGACATAACTCCAAATGCCAATGCTCAAAGTATTGATCAAATTTTCATTGATCAAGAGGTGGATGACAAAACTCATTTAGAGGAGGCATCTGCATCATCGTCACAACTTTGGAGAAGTAAGAGGGCAAGGAAAGAAAAATCTTTTGGCCCGGACTTTCATGTGTACTTAGTTGAAGGATCAAGGGAATCTGTTTCAACACAATTTCCATACATTTTTAATGTGGAATATGATCCTTTGACCTATGATGAGGCTATGATGTCTCGTGATGCTCCATTTTGGAAGGAAGCTATTAATGATGAGATGGAATCTATCATGGGAAACATACTTGGGTTTTAGCTGCTTTACCACCAAAATGTAAACCAATCAGGTGCAAATGGATCTTCAAAGGAAATTGAGGATTGATGGAGCGGTTGAAAATTTCAAAGCCCGGTTAGTGGCACAAGTTTTTACACAAAAACCTGGTATCGATTATTTCGATACATATGCACCCGTTGCTAGAATCTCAGCTATAAGGTTGTTGATAGAACTTGCGACTATCCACAAGCTTGTGATCCATCAAATGGATGTCAATACAACATTCTTGAATGGAGATCTAGAGGAAGAAGTTTACATGCGACAACTGGAAGGGTTTGTTGTGGAAGGTCAAGAAGAAAAGGTTTGCAAGTTGATTAAATATTTGTATGGGCTAAAGCAAGCACCTAAGCAATGGCATCAAAAATTTGATGAGGTTGTGTTGTCTAATGGTTTTAAGTTGAACAATTCAGACAAGTGTATTTATAGCAAATTTGATGACAACGGTCAAGGTGTCATAATTTGTCTATATGTAGATGACATATTGATCTTTGGAACTAATTTGTCACAAGTTGAAAAGACAAAGTCGTTCCTTAGTTCAAAGTTTTCCATGAAAGACATGGGGGAAGCGGATGTCATCTTGGGCATAAGGATAAAGAGGGAAAAATAAAAGTTGATCTAGTCACAATCTCATTACATTGAGAAAGTACTCAAGAAATTCAATGTGAGTGAAGACACTACTTCTCTTTATTCAACACCTATGGATCCTAGCATAAAGTTGATACCTAATGAAGATAATGCGGTTTCACAACTTGAATATGCTAAAGTAATAGGTTGTTTGATGTATGCCATGACAAGTACTAGACCGGATATTGCTTATGCAGTAGGTAAACTGAGCAGGTACACTAGCAAGCCTAGTATGCAACATTGGCAAGCGGTTCGACGCTTGATGAAGTACTTGAAGAAAACCAAGGAGTTTTGTTTGTCTTATAGCGGATATCCTTCGGTTATAGAAGGGTATTCGGATGCAAGTTGGATCTCTAACAAAGATCATTCCTCCACAAGTGGATAGATTTTTCGGTATGGGGGAGGTGCCATTTCATGGGCTTCTAATAAGCAAACTTGCATTGCAGACTCCACAATGACATCGGAGTTAATTGCTTTGCATTCGGCTGGTAAAGAAGCTGAGTGGTTGAAGGATCTCATGCTTGAGATTCCTTTGTTGCCAAAACCAATATCACCAATAGTGATACATTGTGGTAACAATGCTACTCTGGCAAGGGCTTATAGCCAAGTTTACAATGGTAAGTCAAGGCACATTGGAGTATGGCACAATTACATCCAAGGACTTATCAAGGATAGTGTGATCACTATTGACTATGTTTGAACGGATCTTAATCTCGCCGATTGTTTTACAAAGGCATTGGCTACAGATGTTAAAAATAGGATGGCAATCGGTTTAGGATTGGAGCCCTAAATAATCACAATTAGGGGAATCTCAACTTAATGTCTAATAAGACGTTGGGTCTTAAGTTTAATGAGATCAATTATCTTATTTGATGATTGGGAACTTGTTTATTCATCCAAGGTAAAGTTCCGGTTTACTGTGATGTAAAGAGGTTGTTTTAAACTTAATAGAATTCCTGATAAAGTGCTTTGGTCACAGGAGCATGTTGGAAGTCTACCTATGTAAGTACGAGGTTTAGCTGCTTCAAGAAGCTATTAGGGACATAGCTTTTATGTACTTATGAATAGATATGGACACATGGCTTATAGTGTCAAGCTAATATGTATTTAAGTAATTAATATTGTGTGTGTAATATCTTCAAGTTTCCAAATGTGTTGCTTTTGGTTCAAACATTTTACGATACCAAATGGATACGGATTCTTGAATGTATGTTGCACTAAGTGGGAATTCAAGTCTTTGTACACTTTCATTTAAGCATAAGATTGTTTTGTGATGATGATGTTTTTTTGCAACATTTCTAGTTAAAATTCTCAAAATAGAGGAGGATTGTTGAATAATTTTGAGAATTAGAGACATAATTCATGTTAATTAATTAGTTTACTTAGGCAAAGGTGTTGTAATTAATTAATAAAGAATATTAAAGCAAATATTACATTGAAGGAAGCTTAGAGCTCTCGGCAACGAGAAAACTCTATTTATAAAAGAGATAGCTTGCTGCCTCTGTTTTGTTGCCTGGTCAGCCGCCCGGTCAAGGTGGTGCTCGCTGACCGGGCACGAGGGTGGCTTATCTTCTCCGCCGCCCGATCGGGCAGCCACCGCTAGATCGGACGCGAGAAGGAAAGCAATTTTACGGAAATCTGATTTCTGGAATTTGGGGTAGCTGCCCGATCAGGCCACAACTGCCGATCGGGCGTGAGACATTTATGAGTTTGACGTTGATAACTGCCCGATCGAGCGGTGGCCGGCCCGATCGGGCGCGGGTCTTGAAGTTTATTTGAATCGACGGTTTTTCCTTCAAACTGTTGGTTTTGTTAGTTATTTTCATGGCTCTTGGCTGAAGTTTTGCTTCAATATAATATGTTCTATGAACATATGTTGGATAACTTGAGAAAAATAATCAGAGATTTTATTTTTCTTGAAACCTTTTGCAATGTATTTATCATCATCATAAATCCAAAGGCTTATCTACATTTTATTGTAATCATCCTACTTGTGATTACAATTGATCTTCGTTGTATCTCCTAAGTGAATTTTCGTGTAAACCCGGTTGTAGTATAGGAGCGGAATTATACTTTTGGGAAAGTGATTCCGTTCACGCCCCGAAGTTTTTGCATTCTAATTTGTTTTTGCTTTTCTTTGTGACCCTTATAAACACAAAATCCCCAACATTTTGAACTATGCCTAACCTAGGAAATCAGATTTTAAATTCGTGCGTAAAGCCAATGATGAAATGCTAGGAAACATGAAGTTTTCTAATTACAAAATTGTAAATACCTGAATTCTTTTTATTTATTTTTTCAAAATTCTCAACACCTAAAAGGCCAAAATGAAGCTAACTTGATTAAACAAAGTTACTCTCTCGTCAATTCTTTGCCACTCATATTTATATTCCTTATTTGTCATTACCATTCGATAATTGACTTCGATCTAAGCAAGTCTTAGATGCATTGGATGCAGTCGTATCATCAGACATTTTTTACCCTCAGTTTAAAGTAAATACTACCTCCGTTAATAGTTATTTGCAATATTTACGTACCAAAAAAAGGGTGCTATAACTATTATTTGCAACCAACTTATTTATTTCAAATTTTAGTAACTTTTTTTGTCAAAATGACCAAAATACCCTCACTTAAAAGTTATTAGCACATAATACTACACATAATTACAAAACATTATAACCTTAATTTTAAGTAATTTTCTAACCCTTTCCACCCTAATAATCTGATTAATCTTCCCATTATCTTTCTCTCTCCTCCTTCATCTCTCAATTCATCTTCTTTGTTTGATTTCGGGAAAATTCCTCAAATTGGAGTGTGTACCATTGATTCAATATATAGAGTTTACAATGCTAGATCTCAACAGGATCAATAGGAAACCATGTACGATAAGGATACAAAATACACTGTAAATCTATCCTAATGTGCGACAAATATTATCATGAATATAATATCTATCACACCCCCGCAGTCATAGCGGGAGGAGGTCGTACGCTAAGACCGGACCTAAAATCCAGGAATAATTCTTGTGGTAGGCCTTTAGTGAAAATGTCCGCAAACTGATTCTAGAAGGAACATGTAGAACCCGAACTTCCCCCAAAGAAACCTTCTCTTGAACAAAGTAAATCTTCATCTCCACATGTTTGGTGTGTTAGTGTTGTACGAGGTTGCTAGAAAGGTAGATAGCGCTGATATTATCACAATAAACAATAGTAGTCTGCAGTAGAGGACAATGGAGCTCTAGTAAAAGATTACGTAGCTAACACGCCTCAAAGACAACATTTGCGATGCCTCGATATTCTGCTTCTGCACTCGACTTAAATAAAGTATGTTGACGCTTAGATGACCAGGAGACGAGGTTGTCCCTTAGGAACCAACAGTCACCCACAATGGAACGCCGGGTATTGGGACAACCTCCCAAGTCATCGTCAGTGTAAGCAATCAATCAATGAGAAGCAGTATGATATAAATGTAAACCGTGATCAATGATACCCTGTACATACCGCAGAATGCGTTTCAATGCCTCATAGTGAAGTTCCCGGGGATCATGCATGAAAAGACACACCTGTTGTACCGCATAGGCAATATCTGGCCTGGTGAAAGTGAGGTACTGAAGAGCACTTGCTAAACTGCAAATCTGCAATACAAAGTAGGAACCCGGAAAGTGGTCCTGCATCTGCACTAAGTTTGGACTTAGTGTCAACTTGAGTAGCTGCAGGCTTGCAAGAGCCCACACCTACATGCTCTAAGATCTCATGTGCATACTTTTCCTGTGAAAGTAGCAAATAAGAGGGAGAACGGGTCACCGCAATCCCTAGAAAATAACTCAAAGGACCCAAGTCAGTCATAGAGAACTCAGTTTGCAACTGAGATATAATTCCTGCACCCAACCTGTCAGAGGAGTTAGCTAAAATAATATCGTCAACATATAAGAGCAAATATGCCATATCATCACCCGACCGGAAAGTAAAAAGAGAGTTGTCACTCTTATCGATGACTAAACCCAATTTGATGAGAAAATTCGCAAAGCGTTGGTACCAAGCTCTAGGAGCTTGTTTCAAACCATAGAGAGCCTTGCGGAGCTAACAAACATGATTAGGAGCCCTCCGATCAACAAGCCCGAAGGTTGATGCATATAAACAGTTTCCTGCAAATCACCATGTAAAAAGGCATTTTTGACATCAAATTGATGTATCGACCACTTTTTAGCCATAGCTAAACTAAGAACAGTACGAATAGTGGCCGATTTAACTACCGGACTAAACGTCTCATCACAATCCACGCTTATTTCCTGCGACCTGCCATCACACACAAGACGAGCATTGTGCCTTTCAAGGTAACCATTAGACTTATATTTATGCTTAAGTAGCCACATACAATTCACAATATTCACCCTCGCAGGCCTAAGCACCAATTCCCATGTCCTTGTTTTATTTAAAGCACTATATTCATTAGTCACCGCCGCATTCCAATTATGGTCATGTAATTAAGGCATGTATATATGATTTTGGAAGGGGGGATTTCTGATTTGGAGGACCCGAAGTGACCAAGGCGGACTGACCGTATCTCGGGCTAGGCTTGAATATGCCCCTTTGACTTCGGGTTACAGGGGGAGAGGGGGGCGTGTGGGCTGAATTCGGGGTGCCCCTCTTAAAGGGGGTAGGGTGTAAGTGGGCTTCTAGCCTAGGGAAGGGAATGGGCCAGGTGGGTTGAGCCCAGGTGGGCTGTGATGTGAGGCGGGGCCTGTCAGGGGAGCTTGGGGAAGCTGTGCGTGAGAGATGTAGGCTAACAGGAGGGGAATATGGGGGGTTTGGTAGAGGAGTCCGCCGGTGGGCTACGGTCTTTGGGTATGGGCCGCGACTTGCCTGCTGTGTAGGCTAATTTGGGGTGCTGTAATGGAGGTATAAGTGGCTTTAAAGTGGAGAGTTTTCATCACTACCCAAAAAATTGTAATCCTTCATGGAATATTTTCTTATATTTTTATATATGGAAATGTGAATTCATCAAAGGTTACATGGCGGAAATGATGACCTTATTTGAAGAAAGATCAAGACACTTATACCCACGATGATTGGAAGGATACCCCAAAAAGACACAAGGAGTGGAACGAGGAGCAAGTTTATGAGGTGTTGTGGCGGACAAATTTTGGAAACATATACAACCAAAAACCCGAAGATGATCATATGAAGGGTTTTTATGTAATACCCCAAACAATTCTTTCTTAAAACTTGTAAATACCCTGAACAAAATCCAAGAGAATTACTGGCGTGCTACCGCCACGTGTTCAAACGTTAAGGCTATATCAGAAAATAGCAGCGGAAAAACTAAGACAATTATAAATAAGTTTCAAAACCAATAACCAAAACCAAATTAAATCATACAACTTGGAACCATTAAGCCCCTTATTCAAAACCCCACAAAAGTAGTAAATAAATAAAACCAGATTTTAAATAAATTCAAACTTATAAAAAGAAATAAACTGCGAACAATAACCAATTCTCCACTCAAAATCCCATAACCCTGATGCAAATGCTGCATGTGCAAGAACCTGTGGTTAATCTGCTCCCCAATATTACAAGTGTAAAAATTGGATCGTCACATCGTCATGAAAAGGCAAAGGCCATGACCAAAGAAAGACACACACAAAAGCACGCAATCAGCAAAGCTGAGTACATACAAGCTGCTACTAATAACCAAGCATAAGCATCATTAAATTATAGACTCAACACATGACTCAACCATCAAATTTATTAAGACTTCACTAGTTAATATTAACTAACTCAATTATTTACTTCATTGGATTTAGCAATAGACAAGGTTGTCCAACCCATGCTCCATTTGGAACATCAATAAAGAAAACCCCATGCCTCCTTTCGGAAACATCAATAAACGTCCAACGACCACGGGCGCGACTCCGTGATCGTAGTTAGTATGAGATCTCACCTAACTCCTAGTTTTGAAAAATATTTGAAATAAGAGACTCATAGATCAGACGGCCTCGAGAAAAGTACACGGCTAATACCCCGTGTACCCCAACCCCTGATTGTCATTACTCCAGAAGTGCACCAATCCAGAGTTTTATTGCTCATCCATCTTGCACTTTACGTGATTTACAGGTTTAGACTTGGTGATGACTCATATGCAAACAATACAATCAATCCAAACACAATTCAATCAAACAAGGCAAGTTTTCAATTTCAATTCTTGATTTATTAGTGACAAACAACATTTATTATTTATTCCTTTAACTACCTCGGTGTATAAACACCTTGACTGCATAAGGCAACCCAAAACCTTAACCTCGTCTTATAAGACATAAATTCTTCCTTTACTCATCCTGCTTGCATAATCATGAATGAGTAATAAATTAATCATTACACCAATCATATACCTTTGCCTCTAAGAGCACCTTGCATAATTAGAGCACAAATAATACTTGCAATATAAAATAGTGCACGTCATACGAAATTCACAATGTATAACCAAAAAATTTAACCCAGTCATCCATATACATGATACTAAGTTCTCGATCTTTCCTTAAACATGCACCTAAAATCAAGGTTTCGTAACTCGTACGTACCTTGAATAAATGAATTGGTATGCCACTTTACTATCTAGAAATCACCTTCAATAAACTCCTCTCCTAAACCAAATAATAACATCTCAATCAATACCCAATCAATCAAATTTACAGCAATACTAACTTACTTTAAAACCTTCAAAATCCAAATCAAACAACACTTTAAAACCTTCCCTTTAGTTAAAATTAAAGGCTTATATATATAGTTCTTTAAATTTTCTTCATAAAAACCTTAAAATACACTCTTATACATGAAATTACAGCAAGTTTAAAGTTTAATAAAAATCTTAAAATTATTTTAAAACCCCTAATAATCTCCCTTTTTAATGGGTGATTAAACTCTCTTTATAAAACATCAAAAGTAATACTTAGAAACTATTTTCAGCACTTAAAACTTCATTAAAAAACATACATTTATGCTTATTAATTAACTTTAAACATAATTAATTTTATTAATCAAACTCAAGGATAATATTTTAAGTATGAAAAAAACTTCGTTAAAATAAAAAATGCACGAAAATCATATTTAGAGGCTGAATTTGGCCACGAGAGGGTTGTGCACACTACCAAAGGTAGTGATTCTTTTTTAAAACGTTGTTTTCACATGAAAAACACTATTTTTTTTATCAAAATCTGATGAGTTCAGAACCTGATCGGGATTAAAACGGGATTAATATTAACGAACAGAAATCTAAAAATTAAAACATGAATTTAAGTGTTCAAAATAATCTGGAATTAATTTAAACTAATTATTAGTTATAATCACCAAAATTTCAAAACATCATTACTATAAAAACCCTAAATCAATTGTTCATAAAAACCCTAAAATCTCAATTTCAATAAATTGAAACCCTAGGTTTATAATTCATAAAATATGAAAATTTATAACATAAATATAATCTGAAATTTATAATCTCTATATCATCAAAATATAATTTGATACTAAAAATATAATCTTTATACTAAAATCAAAACCCAAAACAATTAATTTAACATCAAGCAAAATAATGAAACAAAGGAGGAAGAAAATAAGACTAACCTTTTTGTGTGGGAAATTTTTGGGGATTCATGGGGTATTTATAGGAGAGAATGTTGTAGGGTAAATAGAAAGATTGGGCCTCATAAAATTAATGGGTCAAATAAATGAAATGGACTAAGCTTTAGTTGTATTGAAATAAATTATAGAATGAAGGTTCATAAAATAATTTGTACCAAAATAATTTTTGACCCAAATTAATAATTTGAATATTTTGAAATTAAATTACGAAAAAATACAAAACATTATTATAAAGAAAATTAAATTTCATTTCTAACATATTTAAAAATACGGTGGATTACATTTTCCTAAAGAGAGCTTGAGCCGAAGTTATGTTCTTAAGGGTCTTAGTTGGTGAGATGTTAAGAAGATAAGTTGCGGTCTCAAGAGCGTGCGACCAAAAGGAAGGAGGCAAAGAAGCATGAAAAAGAAGAGTACGTTTGACATTATTTATGGTGCGGATCATACGTTCCTCTTTTCCATTTTGACAGGACGTTTGAGGACATGAGAATCTAAAAACCATTTCATTATCAAGGCATAATTTTTTGAACGGATTATTGTCAATTTGAAATGATTTAATGGGGCGTTTAAATTGAGTTTGCACATATTGTTTGAAAATAAGAAAGCTTTGGAAGGCTTGAGGTTTTGAGGCTAAAGGAATAGTCCACAAATAATGAGTGAAATCATCAAGAAGTACTAAATAATATTTGTGACCATTAATGTTACGAATAGGAGGTTTCCACAAGTCAGCATGAATAATATCAAAATCACAAGTAGTATTATTATTGGAATTAAAAAGTGGAAGTCTAACATGTTTCCCTATTTGACACGAATTGCAAAAATTAGAGGCATGCTCCTTATTATAATTAATAAAACTATTGCTCCTAAGAAAGCTTAAAGAAGGTGCTCCAGGATGTCCTAAACGATCATGCCAGGTGGAAGGAGCGACTATGGCGAGAGAAGTGGCTAGAAACGTGCTATGAGCATCAGTGGTGACAGGATATAGGTCTCTGAAACTATTGCATCTCGTTATTTCCCTGCTCGTGTGAAGGTCCTTCACAGAAAAACCAATAGGGTCAAATTTAATGGAAACCGAATTATCAGAGGTAAATTTACGAACTGAGATTAGGTTTTTAATAATTTGAGGGGCAAGGAGGACATGTTTAAGTGCTAAAGATCTATTTAGGAGAGAAGTATGTCCATAACCAGTAATATGAATACGATGACCATTACCAACTAAAATATGATTATTAGCGCTTAAATTTAAAAGGGGAAAGAGATTACCGGGATTGTGTGTCATATGGGAGGTGGCACTGGAGTCCATGTACCATCCATTGTCCGAAGTTGAAAGACTCATAGAAGAGTAGGCACTCCCGAGCTCTGTGGGTGTCATTCACAGGCCATATTGAGGTATTCCCACAACATAAGCCTGCTAGGAACCACGACCTGGTGCATCACCAAGGATGGGCTGAGGTTGATACGGGTCGGATGTTGGAAACGGCTAGGGAGGCACTGCCCAAGATTATTATGGGATCCAATAGAACTGTTGTTGGGGCCAGGCCTTACTTTGGGCCCAAGGTTGACCAATGGGCTGATCTTGAGTTTGTTGTTGCGAGGATTGTTGTGGCTGTTGTTGTTGCGAGCTGCTCTTGTTGGACTGGTTGCCACAGCCTTGGCCTCCACGGCCACGACCCCTACCACGGCCCTGCTTGCCGTTGCCCCGTCCTCGACCACCGGCGCCTCCACTGGTACCCCTGGC